CTTCCTTCCTTCCTTCCTTCCTTCAAATCATCCTTTCGTTTGTGCAAGTGTCATGGCGGAAACTGCAGAGCAAATGTTGCACGTATTAATTACCATTCTTCGAATAAAAGAAGAAAAAACGATACTTGGTCAATCAGACCGCAAACAAAAGGCAACAACATGGTTGGCGTGTGAGTTAGTTCAATTAGTCACAATGATCTACAGACTTTCTAATATTGCTCCGTTTACTGAGAACCTTAATTTTCGGGTCATTTGCTTTATTTTTCGTATGTTTAGGTTGCAAAGACAATAACATCAATTGTCCAAGCTGGGCATCTGTTGGACACTGCTGGAGTAATCCAGGGTACATGAATGTCCATTGTAAAAAGAGCTGCCGCATATGTAGACAGGGTAATAAATACTAAAGCAATTTACATTAGCCAGTGATCTGAAATACCCTTTAGCGTTAAAAGTACTAATATATTCTACTATAACACTATGATATTTTTAGTAGACAAGTCACTTTACCTTAATAAAAACTATTAAAGTTACACCCTACTAATTTATCATTTTTTCACTCTACAATACTTAGGATCAGTAATTTAGGTATTAAAAAATTTGTCTTGAGTCAGAACTGAGAACTATAGTACTAATTCAAGTAAAACTCGGAGAGACTAGATGAAAAAGCAAATACCAATGTCGTTCCTCTTTTGAAGGAGCTTTCGCCCAGAAAATGGGTTCTGTTTATTACTCCCATGGCAAAACGCAATAACTATCTGAACTTCTCTTTCTTTTTATATTTATCAGTCAATCCTTGTTATGACAGCGCATCGTCTTTCTGGTGCTACACCTACAGATATTACTGTAACACGGACATGTCCTTTCGTCAACGGTGCAGAAAAACATGTCAGTCATGTTAATGGTTTAGACAGGGGTAAGCTGGCGCGTAGCAATCCCTTTACGCACTTTGTACAAATTGTAGCCTTGCTTAAGTCTGGTTTTTAGTTGCGATGGAGTCGGTATGAGAGTCTCAATCGGATGGAATCGCAAGCAGTTCATGCTAATGAAAAACGCTTATAAGTCTCCATTTGATTTCGGTTTTTCTAAATTAATTTTTTTTTTTGCTTTCCTTTATTATTCATCTGTCTATTAACGGTGACTAAAGAACTTTCATAAATCAAGAGTAGAGAAGATCTTTCCAATTCTAACTCTGATTCTAATTCTATCGCGCTTCTGACTGAAAATCAGGCTTAGTAAAACTGAACCCTCTCTCTGTATACCCTTGTTTATATTCTATATATATTTTCTTATTTTTCAGGATCAACTCGAAGCGATCTTTCGTGTCACAGCTTATTATAATCATTTTTGTGCATGGAAAACGTTAATAAATGTTTTATCATTCAAAGTCAGGGTAGCATTTTTTTTAAATACGAATGTTCACTTCATGGATCTGTCTCAAATCTCCATTTTTCTCCCACCCCTCCCCCCTAAAAAAATTGAGATTTCGTACACCTAACTCATCAAAGGAAAAGTGTCTGGCATGACTGGGATGGTTGAGTCTCCGGAATGTCAGTTGGTGAATTGCTCATAAACAAGTCGATATTTGTATTAACCCGAGGTATGGTTTACTACAGTAATTAGAGACAGATCACATTTATTGAAGATGAATAACTTTATACATCTAACAATGACTGCGCGCCTCAATCATTTTGAACATTAATTCTCGAAGACTAGAATTCTTACACTTGTTGAGAAACCAAGAAAAATCTAGCTGGTTTACTTATAACCTAAGTAATGCCATCAGTAAACCTTTTGTTGTACTGGATGTTCCTTGGATGTTCAAGTTCGTCTTACGATATTCGTGCTGCATTTGATAAACAGGCGCCATTTTTGATAGTGATGTCATCGAGAGCAATATCACTTTCATACGAATACCCTGTTACCGACTCAAAAACAATCTGAGAATAAAAGAAAGTTGCGTCAGGTATAATCATCATTCATTATTTATCAACTTATAGAAAGAAAGGGCCGGATATAAGCTTAATGCAAGATGGGAAAAAACCGTGCATTTTTTCTGTTCTTTTTTAGTAAGAATACTAGAACGATTTTACGTGGACTGATTTCGTACGTGACGTGATGTCAAACCGCCATCTTGTTTCACAAAATTAAATCCATATACAATAAGATATTAATTTCAGTAGTACTGCTCATCGATGATAAAAACGATGATAAAATGATAAATCTTTAAATTATGCCGTGCATAATACGGGGAGTTGTCACCTGGTGTCCCTAATGTTACTGTTTAAATATTAAGCAACACATACTCCACAATCACTACTACTATATTATAAAATATACAAACTCTTCATCAGCTCACACAAAGCATTTTGCGGAAAAAGAAAACCCGGAGAGCACCATTTTTGCCAAGGCGGAGCGTAAACCATTAAAAAACTCTGTTCACATGTTGCGTTCACAGAAATCCCCAAATCCGCGACCCAGCCCGTAGGCCTCAAAGGGGAACGTTTTACCACTTCTTCACCCTTTCCACCCGATCAGTGCAGGCGCTCGGGACTTAATTTTCCCCTTATAAACCCATATACATCATTGATATCGTTGATAAGAAGTGGTGCATCCTTTGCTTTACCGTTTGCATTTGTGAATGATTAAGACTAATAAAAAGCAAAAAATAAAAAATAAAAGGAATACCTTGTATCCAAAGCTGCTCCTGATGGTAACTGACGCACGAATCCACTTGTTACCTTGGTTACCAGATTTTGTGAATACTTTGGTTTTCTCGTTAGAGTTGAGACTTCTGATATACACGTTAAGTGATCCCATGGTCGCACCGTACATGTGATAGAAGAAACTCATGCAGCGACCAGAAGGTGCGGGAGGGAAGACTTTACTGACCAGGGTAGCTGTCTGACCTTTTTTAACTGGGGATGACGTCTCTATGTACACATAATAACCTATAAAATCATATATATGTAAGATTAATTTATTTTTCTTCATAATGAACGGAACTTAAAATAAGAAAAATTATCAAGATGCTATTTTTGTAAAAAGCAGCCCACTTCGGCCTCGCCGTCCTTGTCCATAGTGTTAATCCTACGCACATTGCGGAAATCGTTTCGTTGCCATCTGTTATAGCTCTAGCAACTAACTAAAAGTATATATTCCATGCGCAAGATACACTTCATTTCAAACCTGATCCAGTTGTATGATCTTTGGAGGGTCCTGTTTTATAGCTTGGTGTACCACCAGAACGTCGAGTCCACGAGTAGTAACTGCTACCTGCACCTCGAGACCAGAAGCAGTAGCCTTGATCGAAGTTGCATTGCCCTACTGTTTGTATTAAAAATATAGACGAGTGAGTGTTATGAAGTTTCACTATTGCTCGTATCAATGATTATTCACAGACTCTGCCGCTCTGCAACCATTACATATAGATCGATGCAGAAAGGAAGGGTTAGGGGATGGCCCTACTAATTCTTATTGAGAATAGTGAGGTTTCAATGCAGCCATGTAAAAGTACAGAAACAATGAAAATTCGATGATTTTCGCATATGAAGAGGAGAAAACCTTATTGTTTAATTACACTAAATTAGCAATTCCGAGGATTAAGGAAAAACTAAGTCAAGTTTGCATAGCAGTGCCATTTCTAAGATGGCCTCGTCCCTAAAACGACCCCAAAAATGCACTCCAGTGCCAACTTGACCCAGTTTTTCGCTCAACCTTGGAATGGCTAATAGCAACCCTTCAACAGCAGGAAATCTAAATCCTTTAAAATTACCACTGTTCCTCGGTCAGGAGCATATCTTTGAATCAATCATGATGGAAAACGGTTAAGTTTAGTTTTAAAAAACTGTATTACCTGGAGTCTCAGTTAAACAAGGTGTATCGATGAATGAAATATCATCAATACCGATGTCGCTAGTGTAGGACTTTCCTCGGACAGACTCAATAATGACCTGAAAGAATATAGAGAATTAAAACGTGAGATACACCTTATCTAAAGACACGTGTTTTAAAGAAGAAACAGAAAGCGCAAAGAGCGCATGCGCACGCTAGGTGACCTCAAAAGAATTTTAAACAGTTATTCTATCATGTTATTTTCAGTTCCTTCTGTTGCAGACGCTAGAAGAAGTTAACTAATTGAGGGCTGTTAGTTTGTTTTATGCCTTGTGTCAATTTATTTTCTGTGTTAAATTTTAAACATTCTCTATACTTTCATCCGTTTCTCGGTTTAGAACCACTGAAAAACTAGCACTCGCTTTTGTTATGCCTTCTATCAGTTGTGGATCAGATATCTAAGGGCATGCATGTGACCCTAAAGCAAACATCGCACTGATGTAAAAAGAATTTATGGATTATTAATAAGTTGGAGAAATTTCAGATGAACTACCTTGTAACTGTATGTAGCTTTTATGGTGACCTTTGCACCATGCCACTTGTTACCTTGGTTACCAGATTTTGTGAATACTTTGGTTTTCTTGTTAGAGTTGAGACTTCTGATATACACGTTAAGTGATCCCATGGTCGCACCGTACATGTGATAGAAGAAACTCATGCAGCGACCAGAAGGTGCGGGAGGGAAGACTTTACTGACCAGGGTGGCTGTCTGACCTTTCCTAGCTGGAGATGACGTCTCTACATACACATAGTAACCTATATGGGGAACAATGGGCTTAGATTTTTGTATGCTTATTAATATAACATTATATCCCTTGTATTTTCTCTGGGTATGCACAAGTCTGTATCATATCCCGAAATATTACAAGTTGAGTTAACAACCTATGCGCAACTATCAATACTTGCATTTTGATGAGATGCTTTGCTTCAGTTGCATGAGAAGTCTCTCCCATATTTGAATTGAGTATTTGCACCATCACGTGACGTTAGCCATGTTTGCTGGCAGGAACAATACAATCGTTTTCCATTGAAAGAAATAATCAGTTCACAACAGCAAAGGGATTTCTTTGTTCTGCCATCTAACCACAGGCAGCCCAAGCTGTATTATGCGCGTGGCCACGTGATGGTGCAAAACCTCTATGATTCATTAAGCAATGAGTCACGCATACTTTACCTGATCCACTAGTGTGATCTTTTGTTGGTCCTGTCCCGCTACTTGATGTTGAACCCGAAATTCGTTTCCATGAAAATTTGTTAGTGTGTGGTCCGTTAGTCCAGTAACACATGTTTCGATCGAAATTGCAATCGTTGGCTCTTCCTGGGTAATGTAAGAATAAAAATCTTATGCATTCAACTACTTGAAAATTATACTCAATTTCTAATCCACTAAGCAAAATTGACGCATTCCTTTAATTTAATATTTTTTTTATTAATAAATATTTAAATAATAAAATAATTAATCATGCTATCTGTATGTTTTTTTCTTTCTCGCTTACAATAAAAAACATTGTATTATAAGAGTCTGCAATCTAAGATGTGGGATTGGTATCTAGTACTAATATATAATCCTCAAGACAGCTTTTCCATTATCTCACTTCAGAAATAGTTCAGAAATAGTGAGAAAATAGTGAACAAATACTGAATGATATCAAGGTATGACATCTTAGATACCAGTCATGGAAGACTTACCTGAAGTTGTTGGGAACGTCGTAGGTGCTACCGTTGCTTTAGTTGGCATTGGAGTGCTTGGAGGGGTCGTCGTGAAACGTGGAGTTGTGGAGAGTCCAGCAGTAGATGGCCATGCAGTAGAGTGAGTTCCTTGTAGCAAACATTTAATAAATAATAATTAGCACTAAGAGGCCAGTTTCCACAGAGTTGGTCCTCTTCACAACATTTTAGAAGGTAGAAGATTTACGAAAATAACAGAAATTAAAATGAAAAAGATTATCCATGGTGGTCTAAATCAAAGAATATACATATTTATTTGTAAACCGATTGTGACAGTTAGGTGGACCTCGACATTTCGACTCTTGGGCGACTGCTAGTCTTTATAGTCTTCACCTTCCAATATATACCATCGCCTGATGAAGACAGTAGCAGTCGAAACGCCACGGTCCACCTAACAGTAGAATCTTTGATAACAGTAAATATTTGATGAATGAGTGTCTTACTTTGCGTTGGACAAGGACCATCGTTAAAAGAAATATCATCAACTGCGATGTCACTAGTGTAAGAAGTACCTCGAACGGATTCAAAAATAATCTGTAAAAAAAGACCATTCAGCGTTTGCACAACAAATAAACTTTGAATAAATGCATCCTGCTTATCAGGATTGAGGATGTTATCTGAGGAGAGTTATATATGCTACCAGCAAGGCAGTGATAAAACCGAACCTTTCTTGAAAGAAATAACTTCAAACCACTTAACAAACGCCAATACTGGACTCC